AGTCCCCAAAAGATGTATGAAGTTTAATAGGTATATAGAAGATGACAAAGTAATGTTAGCCTATGGTGATAATAACAGAAAATTAGTGTTTTAACTAGACTTTATTGGATGGGGAAATTTTTTTGGACACAAACAGACTGGGTTTGGAAGTTGTATTTAAGCTATGGAATTTTTGGCCAAGGGAATGACATGTGGATATATGGAGACAGAAAAAAATACACAGTATAAAACTGATAAAGACAGAAATTCTAGAACTGAACTGCCCAGTGTAGAAGCTGCTACCCAAATATGGATAAACGAGTCTAGTTCAAATGGCGAGTAGGGTGTAAGGGTAAATACACGCCAGATCTTAAAAACTTAATAAAAATGTAAACTGTCTCAATTTCCATATTTATTATATGTTGAAATGATATTTTAGATATATAGTATTATATAATTGAGGAAATTAAATTAGATGAACTTAACCTATTTCTTTACTTTTGTTAGTGTGATTATTAGAACATTGAAAAGTATATGGCTTGCGTTACGTTTCTGTTGGGCAGTGCTGCTTTAAAAAATTGAACAGCCATGCTGTTGTTGAACAGCAAGTGGGGTCCCGCTGCCCGCTGCCAACCTCTAGGCAGAATTCCAGAGGCAAAGTTTGGTGGTAAAGGAAAGGAGTCTTTATTGAAAAGCTTCATGATTTTGGAATAACAGCTTTCAACTTGCATCAGTCGCTTAAGCCTATCAATTAAGGTTAACCTCTTTAACACCTGAGTTCTCCTGTCATTCCCCCTGTTAATTTTTAATGATCTTATTTCTACAGGGTTAGTTTGCAAACTAAAACAAGATAAGATACAAAAGCTACACAACTTTAGAATAGCAGGCTTTTGCCTCAGAACCTGATTCCTCTAGAACACCCAGAGAAGAATAACCCTGCCACCCTCTGCCAGGCTAGCCCGATCCTAGGCTGCACCCAGAGTTCCTTCCCATCCGAAATACACTTGGGCAGCTGCAGCAGATCATCCAGCCATCTTTGAGGAAGAAGAGAGAGAGAGCCAGTGAGCCAGAGAACCCAAGAGCCTTCTTATATTTCAAATTTTCTCTAGCCCATAATTTCTTATGCTCTGGAGGCATTCAGCTTCTCAGCCCATCCTGTCCTAGGCTTTTCGCCATTGCCCTGGGCAACTTCCTCCAACAGACCCTTCCTGTTCCAACCCAGTGATGTCATCAGATCTCTGTATCAACGAGTACTCTATCTTATGAAAATTGGCAATGAGGTTAGTAAAGCACCAATGTAGATACCCCAGAAGATGTTAAGGGTTACATTTTACAATGAAAAACATTAGAACATTTTTATGTAATGAATGGGTCTTTTTCCCTGTATACCTTTTCTTGAGTTTACTTTCTTTTGCTTTAGTTTGTTCACCAGAGAATATTAAAAGCAATGCTAAGTACTACATCTTACTGCCTTTTATCTTGTATACTTATTCTCTGGTGGCAAATATATATTTTTAAAGATTTTATTTATTTACTTTTAGAGGGGGAAGGGAGGGAGAAAGAGAGAGAGAGAGAAACATCAATGTGCGGTTGCTGGGGGTCATGGCCTGCAACCCAGGCATGTACCCTGACTGGGAATTGAACCTGCGACACTTTGGTTCGCAGCACACGCTCAATCCACTGAGCTACGCCAGCCAGGGCCGGCAAATATTTTTTTAAAGGAACATTGATAATGTGACTGCCTCACTGTTTCTTTTCTTGTTTTTTAAATATACATATTTTAATATTAAACATTAATGATCAGTGTTAATTGTGTAAAATCATACTTTTCTTATCTATAACATGAAGACAATAAAACCTAGTATACATGTATGCTGCATTAAATGAGATAAGTGAATGTGTAATTACAATGCCATCCTGATATAAACTGAGCAGGGCACTCTTAGCCATTGTAGGAGAGAGAAAGATGACTAAGATCTCCTATCTCTCAGGGTAAGAGTGACGAATATGTGTTACACCAACTAGACTTCGAGGCAAGGGGACTCAGACACTTGAATGAGGAACTAGATTTAAATAATGTGAGAAAAGTGAAAAGAGTGATTGATTCTACCTGGGCAGTCATATTTGAACAGTGTGTGGATGGACAAGGGAATAGGAGTAGATCAGGCAGACAGGCATTTTAGATTTTGGATTGAAGGAGATGTATAAATGAAGGTAGGAAAGCTCACAATGCGTATTTGACTTTCCTTTGGTTTATCCATGTTCATGGATTTTGATATATTACAACTGGCTCATGTTGCCTCACGCTAGCTACCTCACTGGAGCATCTGCCAGACAGGCAGCTCTTGCACATAGGACTGGTCACATTCATCTTTGTGCATCCACAGTGCAGCCCAGAATCTGGCAAAAGGCAGGTGTCCAATAGGTAATTGGGGAGTAGATGAATTAGCACCAACTTTGCAACACTCAGAAAGAGGTGTATAACTTATTTTTCAGTTCAAAATACAGTGCAGAAGATGTGTTTGAATTTCTAGACCTTTATCACGTACTTACAGATATATTTGGTTTGCCGATAATTGTGCGTTGAGGTTGTGTGAGTGTTAGGTTTTCATTTTTCTGTGGAGAGTTGATCTGAAGCCATGGAGCTTTCTTTACTTGCTACTGCAGCGGGCTGGCTCTTACGCCACCTCCCAGGGTCCATTACATTCCTGAAGGTATTCAACACAACTTCCTGTGGAGCTCCATTCCCCGAAGGATAGAGCTGGCTCCACTCTTTCTGCCAGAAAAAATGAAGCCTTGCCTGCCAACTTTTGGTTACCTGGAATGTAACATTATTTTGCAGAAGAGGAAGCACAATGGAAAAGGGTTGTATCTACAGGAAGTCTAATTGCTCTGCAGTGAAGCATGTGAAAAATGGGGAGAAAGGAAGTGGCTTAATAACTAGAATTCCACTTTGTGTGGAATTTCCTTTTTGGTTTTGCCTCCTGCTCTGTTATATCATCAGTATGTTTTCATGTTTTGTTTCTTGTCTACCTAGTAAGTTGTTTTTATATTAGTAGTGTTTTGGATCCACTATGAATATCATTAACAGTCACTATAAAAAAAACAAGAAGAAAACTATGTTTATTTCTTTATTCATTTCTTATGATTTTGAGAAAGGAAGTCAGGAAAAACTGTTTTCTATGCATACTCCCTCCACACTCTACCCATTATCAATGATCTTTGTTAGTGGACTAATTAAAACATTGATTTTACCATTAAAATAAGAGATAGCCATTCTTGGATTAAATTACTTTTTCTGTGAATAACACAATTTTTACACTAGAGAATATTTGCAAAAACTTACTAACAACAAAGTCAAATACATTATGTCCCTCCTGAGAACACAAAGGGTTACATTTAAAGGCCAAGCGGTTAGCACAGCTCCCAGATGTGGATGAAAAGGGGAAAGGGTGGGGGCAGTAGTTTTTCCTGCCAGGCATTTATTGTTTGCACCCTGCAGGCCTCTTCCTAGACCTCATCACTAGCTTCTTTCACATACCCATGGGGTTTGGTCAGGACTACACGGACCATGCTGGGCTTCTAATTGTATAGCGGGGAGAGTGGTTTCAATTCAGATATATTTTGATGTGGCTTAAAAAGCCATTGGATAAGTAGTAATTATACCATTTATGAGATTCACGAGGCTTCTGAGATTCACGGGTATATCAAGGCCCAGGAATTGGGAATATTGTGAAACTTGGGAATACAGGGGGAGAGTTGGAGCAAGGGTCAGGGAAGGAGGAAGGACTAATATTATTTGTGGCAAACATTATGTAATGAAAAAGTTAAAAAAATTTTCATTTAGTCATTTTGGTATAAAACAGCTCTATTAAAATGACTTTCTTTGGTTTGGTACATGGAAGGTAATAAATGTTTGTTGAACTGAATTTCTAAACCAATGCCATATTTTCAACCTTCCTTTTCCTCTTCTATAATTTTGTATTTGGGCCCACAAATTGCCCAAATTGTGCTTGACAGACTTGAGAGTAGCACTGCAGAATTTAATAAAATGAATCGTATTTTTGAAGGAGAATGAGGTCAAATAAAGACTTGGTATCCATAGGAAGTCCCTTTAAAATCTCCATACAACTTTCCTGCATCCAGTTTTTTATTCTGTCCTTACCCTCGTGTGAGTTTGACAAGTTGCATTAAGCTCTCCAGACCTTAGTTTCCCCTTTTTTAGAATTAAGGGATTAGAGTCGTTAGTCTTTAAGGCCCACTTTAGACAAGTTTAGACATTTTCATTTTAGCATTTCATTCAAGATTTAAATTACTTTTCTCAGGCAGTATAATGCAAGATGAATAACATTTTCCTCATTAAATTTTTTAACCTGTTTTCAAAAATAGTCTTGCCTGGATTTTCATTGAGGTATACATAACATGACCTTATCTCTGGGAACACAGCCTTTGATTTCAGCATTGTAAGTGGGAGGTAACAGAGCTTTAATGCACTTTGGAGTTGGTGAGACCTGAACTGAATCTTGACTGACAGGTACTGGCTTAGTGACCTTAGGGAAATTATTTGCTCTCACTAAGACTCCATTTCCTCATCTGTTATGTGGAGGTGATAATGTATTTATAAAGTTATTGTGAGGATTAAATAAGATAATGGATGTAAATTGCTTAGCACACAGCCTGGCTCATGGGAAACAATACGTATTACCTAATGTTGTTGATGCAACCTTTTTTAAAATAACAGTTTATATTTAATGTTATTTTTGTATTAGTTTCAGGTGTACAGCATAGTGGCTGGATGATCACATTCCCTACGAAGCATTCCCCCTGGTATTTCCAGCACCTACCTGGCACCTTCCCTAGTCACCATAACACTATTGACTACATTTCCTGTGTTGTACTTTATTGATGAACTTCTTATATCATAAATTAAGGACTATTTCACTCAAATATTTATTAAGTGAACTAATGACTAGAATGTTTTCCTTATGGAAACTGACCTAAAATATTTTTTTTCCTTGCAGATCTTATATTGTACTTTAAACACACCAAAAGTTGACATGGAAAAACTCTTAGGATCACAAATAGGTCTTGAAGATTTTATATTTGCCCATGTAAAAGGGATCTCAAAAGAAGTGAGTGTGTATAAATCTGAGGATGCACTTGGTCTCACCATTACAGATAATGGTGTTGGCTATTCATTTATTAAGGTAAGTCTTAAAAAATAACTGCATGACCTAACTGAGGGTAACATTTAAGAAAAATCTACCTGGTCAAGGAAAGTTGGAAATGGTCTTCAGAGTGAAAGTCAGCTCAGGAGGGATGGATAGATTGGTGATGTTTCATTTAAAAATGTTTTAAAGATCTCATTTCTGGTTTACCCTTTTCTTGAAATTCTGTCTACAACTTAGAACTTACTGGAAACCCAGCCCCAGTGCCTATTCTTTATCCATCTGAGCTCTTGCAGGTCGGTAAGTCATTAATATCTGGTGACTTCCTTGCTGATTTCCTGATTTAGGACATTTTCATAAGAACTGAGGAATGATAAAAAGAAAAGTAGATTCAGCTCTTAAAACTAACAGTTCTACTATTGTGGTAAGTAGTTGTAAGAACACTGACTTAACATGTACGAGGTAGTTCTACTTGGTTGGTACTATGATTTTTATTTTATGTACTTTTTTGTTGAGGTGCAACAAATTTTTAATGAACAGCTTAATGAATGTTTATATATTTGCACCCAAACTAAGGAAAATTTCATATCTGCCACCCAAAAACCTCCCTTGTGCCCCTTCCCAGCCATTGTTCTTCCTCACAAAGGTCGCCACTCTTCTGACCTCTATCATCATACTTTTGCTTGCTTTTGAACTTCATATAGGGAGAATCATACATTATATACTATACTGTTTCTGGCTTCTTTTGTTCAACATAAGGTCTGAGATTCTTCCATGGGTAGACACTATTATCAGCCTCTAATTTACAGATGTAGAAAGCAGGATCAGGAGGTTTGAGTAACTTGCTCAGAGTTGTGCAGTGGGACAGATTTGGGATTTGAATCTTAGCTGTCCTACTACTGAGCTAAGAATAAGTGATGAACTTCATACAACAGAGCATGTTTTCATGCCTTTATTTTGTCTGAATCCTTGCTTTGCTGAAGCATTGTCATCATTAAAAAAAAAACAACAGTAGCAAAAAAACAGTCTCAGGGGAGTCATCTGCTTAACTGTAAATAGTACCTTATTTAACTTCCCATTGGATAGAATGGGTATTTTTAGCTCTGCAAAAGATATGACTGTGATGAAGGTTGACTGGGTGACCAAATGGAAAATCCGTGAGTTGGAAAGACATGTGGGACTATCTGGGGGAAGCTCAGGACATGAGGCACACACAGCAATGCCTTCTTTCTAATGTCAGCAGGGAAGGGCTTGGAAGTTTTGCCAACATGCATGGATTTTCCAGATCTCATTCTCTGATGTTCAGAGCTCGTGTTTCTATTTTTTTATGCCTTGTCAAACATGTGCCTGCCTCAGAGAACTAGTCACTAGCTGTGTGGAGACAGAGAGCATAGTGGCAAGGAGACGTGGTACATAAACTAAGCTGCCAACATATAGTTCAGCTTTGAAGAGAAATGAATATTATACTGTGTACGCGGTTGATAGGATTTTTAAAAAATTGAAGGGGAGATAATTTCAAACTTATTGAAAGAATGTAATAATAACATAAAGAACTTCCATAAAACCCTTTACTCAGATCTCTAGTTTCTACCATATGCTGCATTTGCTTTCTTCTCTCTCACACATGTGTTCTGGGTACATATACACACATAGACATATATATATATAATTTTCTCTGAACCATTTGAAAAAGTGGACTGCCTGTATCAATCATCTCTTTACCCCTCAATACTTTAGAATGTAGTTACTTAGAACAAAGATGTTCGTTTATATACATCTATAGTACAACTATGAAATTCAGAAAATCTATCTGTGATATAATGCTTTTAAACTAATCTAATATGTTCAATTGCAATTTTATCAGTTGTCCTAATAATTTCATCTATGGTATTTCCCCCCCTGCTATAGGTCCAATATAGGATCATTTAGTTGTTGTGTCTCCTTAGTTGTCTTTATTCTAGAAAAGTTTCTCATCCTTTTACAGAATATTCCCTCAATTTGGTCTTTTCTTATTTTCCCTAATGTTGAAAAACAGATTGCACATTCTTGGCAGGAAAAGTCAATAAGCGATGTGGTGTCCTTCTCATTGCAATACATCAGAAGATGCATTATGTTGGTTTGTCTCATTTATGATTAATTTTTGTCACTTGTCTAAGGTAGTATCTGCCAGTCAATTCACTGCAGAGTTATATTTTCCTTTGCAACAATCTGTGGGGAAATGCTTTGAGATTATGAAAATGTCATGTTCTCTTACTTGTACCCCACAGATTTCACATCTACTGGTAAGTCTTGCCTGAGTCAATTTTTATTATAATGATTGCAAAATGGCAATTTTTTCTAATTCCATCATTCCTTATGTATTTCCTTTAAAACATTCTATTGAAAGAAGCACTCCAGTTATTTATTTGCTTATCTATTATCAACAAGGACACATGATTTCTTATTTTATTCAGTGGGTGATAGGCCATCACCATTGTTTATTTTGGGGCTGAGATTTTCCAGGAGCAGCCTGCAGGAGTCCCTTTCAGCTGGCTCCTCTATCCTTTTGCCATGGCTCTGTCATTTTAGTCAACAGTTCCTTCCTTTTGGCACAAGATGTTTTAGACTCATCTTACATCTTCTTTTCCCCAGGTCTGGAATCAACCACTTCTTCTGGGAGCTCTTTTGTTGTTGTTGTTGTTGTTGTTGTTGTTGTTGTTGTTGTTGTTGTTATTGTTTTGTGAGGACTGATTTCAAAATTGAGAGGTGGATGCTAGTTGTACTCATTCACTGCTACTGGAGTGTTGTTGTTTCTGGTTTTTTCAGGGTAGGGTCAGAAACCATGCATTTTAGAAATTAAAAATTTTTTATTATGCTTCCAATTATATTCCTGCACCACAGGGTTCTTGTTGGCTTCCCCATAATTTACTTTTCAAAATCATTGAAGTTTTTACTCATTTGCTTAGCCCTACAATATACACAAAATAGTTTTAGAATTACCATATCTATACTATGCAAAAGAAATCTATTAAGAAGATTTCAAATTTGTGTGTATTTGTTGTTTTTAGACTAAATGTATGTATATATTGTAAGTATTCTATTCAAAGGTTACTTGGAATATATTTTCTCCTGCTTCCTCTCCCCATGATTGTTACTTATTTGAAATACTGTTGAATCTCATTGTTTTTCTGAATTGAGTTCGAGTTATTCTTCATTCTTGTTGACTTATTTTTTCTGAATATGTAAAATATTATCATGATTCAAAAATTAAAACTATATTAAAAGATATATTTAGAGATGTGCTTCTTTTTCCCTATCCCTTCTATCCCATTACTCATTTCCTCCACTCCTTAGAAGTAATCAATTTCATTTATCACTGATTTGCCATTCCAGAGTTTCTTTTTGTCAAGATAAGGAGAAAAAAAAGGGACTTTCCAAGAATTTAGCATGGTCCCTGCACAAGGATGATATGCAGTCTTCTCTTCTCTGTATAGGGCCAGTTTTAGTGTATGTGCTGCTGAAGTGAGTACTTGATATGCTTTTAGCTGTGGATGAAAGTCAGGGTAGGTTGAAGTAGGAGTAGAGCCTGTGCTAGGGCTTCAGATGAGAGGGTTCAGAGAGGAGAGAGGATTCCATGATTAGGAAGGCAGTGTAGTGTGGTGCGTAGGAGCATGCCTTTAGAATCACACGGGCCTGTTTTCAGTCTAGGTTCAACCACTTATTAACTTGCCGTATAACCTAGGACCAGTCATTAAACCTCTCTGTACCTTCTCTCAAATGGGAATATTAGCACCTTCTTTATAGGACTATTTGGGTAAAAGTGATGACATGAGAAATGTTTCACAGCACTCAAAATACATAGCTGACACTTTAATGATAGCAATAATGACAAATGATCACATAATTATGAGATGAGATCAATGCAGAGAAATGTATTTCATAGTACTGCATGGTCCTCGCAGATGAAACTCTTCAGGTGAAAAGACAACAGACTTAAACATTTGTGATTTTAGTATTCAAGTCTCAGCATTTCCCAGGAAAAAGTGTATGAATCAATTAGAAATTGAGTTTATTTGAATAACAAATTCCTTATGCATTTTAAGACTGGAGTTGGCAAACATTTTCTATAAAGGGCCAGATGGTAAACAGTTCAGGCTTCATCATAATCTCTGGTGCAACTGCAGTCTCTGTTGCACCTACTGGGCTGTGCTATTGCAGCAAAGGAATGGCTATATACAACACTAAAACAATGTGTGTGGTGAGTCCAAATAAGTAAAACCTTTTTTATGGGTGCTCTGATTTGCATTAGTATAATTTTCACATGTCACAATTATTCTTTTATTCTCCCAGCCATTTAAAAATGTAAAAATCACTCATAGTTCATGAGCTGTATCAAAAAAGTAGCTATGTGAGCCATCGTTTGCTGACTTCTAGTTTAAGAGAAGACTTATATTTTGATTCAAAACAGAAATAAGGACTTATACCATGTAGTTAAGAAATTAGACTAAATTGACTTAAAAAACTAAGTTTGTTTTGAATTAAGTGATTTATAAAAAACCACAAAACTGTCATTCTCAGAATATCTTCTTATAGAAATCTTTATGATTTGGGGTACTTTTACTTTAGTAGAACTAAGTTAATTACATTTAGCATGATCTTTATTCTGAGGAATATGGTACTCATATATTTCATTTCTTTTCTTTTTTAAAGATTTTATTTATTTATCTTTAGAGATAGGGGCCGGGAGGGAGAAAGAGAGGGAGGGAAACATCAGTGTGTGGTTCCCTTTCACACATCCCCTACTGGGGACCTGGCTCACAACCTAGGAATGTGGCCTGACTGGGAATTGAACCAAGACCCTTTGGTTCACAGGCTGGCACTCATTCCATTGAGCCACACCAGCCAGGGCAGTACTCACCTATTTCTAACTTTTTGGTTACTTAATTATCCAGAACTAATAATCAGCAAGGTTGGAAATGTCCAGTTCAAAGGGGCAGAGGACTCTAGGATGGAGGCTAAGATCTGTGAGAAGAGGCGTGTAAAGCCTGAACAGAAGTGGTGATCTGGGAAAATAGACATTTGAGATCTGGAAGCTGTGATAGAGACAAACAACAGCTTTAGTAGAAGTAAGCAAAAGTGAAGTGGAAAGGTGGGGGTTGTCAAAAAAGAGATTTCAGAGTTCAAAGATGATAGGTCATTTTCTTTCCCAGTTTTATTGAGCTATAATTGACATACATCATTATGTAAGTTTAAGGTGTCGATTGTATTGATTTGATATACTTATATATTATAAAATGATTACCAAAGTGATAGGTCATTTCGGACAGCTATAACCCAAAACTCTTCTTATGAGGTCATCTCATCTGACTTTTCTTTTTCTCTTGTCTTTAAAAAAAATTTTTTTTTAACTAGCCATTTGGTCTTGGGTTAGTTAGATCTACCTGAAGCTGAGTGTTTTGTGGAAAGAGCATACATTTTACAATTATACCACCTCCATTTGAAGACCAATTCTGCTGTTTATTAGCTGTGTTACTTTGGTTAAGCCATATGTCATTGTGCTTTGATTTTCTCACTCACTAATGGAACATTAAATACTCTCCCCCTAGGCTAGTTGTGAGGACTGAATGAAATCATTACTTACACTTGGTGTGTGAACATTAGTTTGTTATTATGAATGTGGTTTGAGGTCAGTGTTGGGAGAGTCAGCTGCACAGATCTCAGAGCTTCTGACCATCTCCGTGGAGCACGCAGCTTGAAGAACTTTGAATCTAATGCTAAGACTTTGGGGAGGGTGGGATGCCACCTTGGAGTTCTGCTGGTATCTGTGATGAAAAGGCAGAGTTCTGTGCATATATGGGATGAAATAATCGAAGATACCGTAATCAGGGTCTGAAATGGTTGGGGACTTCTGAGTTTAATAATGTTGTCAATGCTTATCTTCCAAAAAATATTTAATGCCTTCTTCTTTCCTTTTTTCTTTTTAAATCCCCACCTGAGGGTATTTCCATTGATTTGGGGAGGTGGGGGAGAAAAAGAGAGAGAAGATAAACATTGATGTGAGAGAGAAACATGGATCAGTTGCCTCCCTTATGCCCTGAACAGGAATTGAACTCAAAGCCTAGGTATGTGTCCTGACTGGAAAAAGAACCCACAACCTTTCAGTGTTTTAGACAATGTTCCAACCAACTGAGCCATCTGGCTGGGGTTCTTCTTTGCCGTTTTTGGCATTAATCTCCAAAGTCAGATGAGAGAAAGTTCTAAGTGTTGTAGAGAAAGATATTAAGTGACTCAGTAAATTCAAGTATAGAAATAATGCCTCTTTTTTGCCTTCCTAGTCCTTTGTGCCTGAGTAACACTTTTAGTGATATTATTAATTTCTATCAAGTTATTATATGATTATCAAAGTATATTAGATTTCAGACATTTGTCTCAACTTGTGCATTCATTTACTTAGGAAGCTAAGGTTTAGGTAACCTACAAGATGTATAATCAATGTCTCCCACTTTGCCTCTGTATCTGGTTTACCTTGTAGTGCTCTTCTCCAAGTTATTATGTTGATTTTCCTGTCTCTTCATCCCAGATCCTTATCTGCTGTCCCTGATGATTACACACACTTTGACTTTTCTCTTGCCCACCTGGATTCTCATCTTGCTGCCTGCTGACTTCTGGTAACTGCCTTTCCTCCCTCTGCCTGACCACTATTCTGGTGCCTTTTGTGGGTACTCACAGGCCCAGGTGAACCTAGATTTTTGTGACTCTGCTTTTTAATTTACTGGTAAGATTTATGCATGTCTTTAAAGTCTTTCATTTAATTAGCTTTATATAATGTTTCTTTTCAATAAAACTATAACAATGTCTTAAATGAAAAATAATATGTGAAACTGAAATTTGTATGGTGTAGTTGATTGAAGCAAAATATATTCAGGCTATATCGAGTCATAGAATAAAAATTGAGAAGAAAGTTAGAGTTACAAATTTTCACATTCTTGAATGATTTAAGAATGGTTAGATGACAGAATATTACAGATTGTTTTTCTTTGTTTCTTTGGACTCTAATGCTGTGTTTGATCTTGCTTATGTTTCTATGAGTCGTGCATTGTGGTTACTGTTGTTTGTTTCGTAGCTTATAAGGCTGATATGGACTTATATTATAACAATGCTAGCTTGATTATGAACTTTCTGGTTTCTTTGCTTTATAATCCACTATTTGTAATGATAAATGGTAACCTCTGTTCGAATGAGCATTCTTGTGTCATTGGCATAAAGCATATCAGTAGTTACTACTACAGTGGACATAGCAGTGTTCTTAACATTTTGGGGTGAGAAAAACCTATTGTGAGTCTTGGAATATTAGCAATAAAATTAAAAAATTAAAAAATGCTCAACCTTCCTAGGTTAGTTTTCTACAAGATTTTATTTTCTTTTTGCAATATTATGAAGATGCTGGGGTACATGAAGTCGGTTTTTCTTTTAGCTCTTGGACTCAATGATCCATCAGGCTGGTGATTCAGATAGCATTCTTCCTCCTGGCAAGAGTGGGGAATACACGTACTTGTGTCACATAATAGCAGCAGCCCCTGATATTTCCATCCTATCATCCCCCTGGAGAATTTGTGACACCCAAGGCAGGACATGGCCTTCATTTTGCTTCATTTCTTACCTCAGTGCAGGAACTCGTGCATCCTTTTCAGCGTTGTTACTTGCAGTTTTCTGGAGTTCCTGTTCCTAAAATCCCTCCAGAAATTCTTAGTGCTGTCTTAGGGAGTCCTAGGCTGCATTTTGGGACTGCAACAGAGATGTATTGTATACAACTCAGATAGATTAAAAAAAAATCAACTTGAAATTTCTCCTTAGATGAAAGTTCTTCTCATCTAAAAGATATAAATGTGAAATGATAGTATAAAATCATTCTTATTGGCTCCCCAAATGGTACCCACACTTGTCTTTTGTTAGGTATCAATTTTCTTAGCTAAGTTTTACTAAGACTTGAGTCACTGCATTTGTAACTAAGGTTTAAAAAATGTAGCCAGTAGAAAAAGCTCAAGCTCCATTCTTATGTAATGGGCTTCACGCTGAAATGATCTGATAATCATTTATGGAGGGACTTTTCTCTGCAGGCATTTGTGCTAGATACAGGGCTTACAATGGTAAATAAGACCATCTCCTCCTCCAAGGATATTAGTTCAGTAATGGAGCCTGAGAGGTGCATGAACAATTGCACTGTGGTAATGTTGAACTTGGCAAATGACTTGATCCTCAATTTTTCTGATCTGTGACATGAGACACTCATTAAGGTTGTTAAAATCAAATGAGATAGCAAATGTAAAGTGCTTAGCTTAGAGTTCAAGCATAGGTGGCAAGAAATATTATAGAAGCACGGTACCTTGCCTAATCCTGGTTGTGTGGGCTGGGGGCAATGTCAGGAAAAACTTCTCAGAGGAGCTGGTGACTGATGGAGCTGAATTCTGGATGATAAGGAAGGAGAATGGTTGGAGGTAAGATAGTTGTCTTCTGCTGCTTGGTATTCCATCTCAATGTGAGAGTTAAACTGCTTTGTTAATATGTTAATGTATTGTATATAATACCTCAAGAACATGAAAAGTAATGTTATGCAGTTCTATTTTACATTAAGTGTTATCCTTAATTTTCTTCTAGAGAATTAAAGATGGTAGCATAATTGACTCAGCTAAAACTATCTGTGTGGGAGATCACATTGAATGTATCAATGGAGAAAATATTGCTGGCTGGCGTCATTTTGAGGTTGCTAAGAAGTTAAAGGAATTAAAAAAGGAGGAATTCTTTACCTTGAAGTTAATAGAACCTAAGAAGGGATTTGGTAAGTTATTTTTATGTGTGTGTGTGAGATGTTCCTTTCCCCTTCCTCCCTTCCTCCCTCCCTCCCTCCCTCCCTCCCTCTTTAAAAATCATTTTATTATCATTGTTTATATCATTGTTATATTTTTCAGGGCTCTCTCTGTGCTGATGTTTTTCACATTTTTTATTAAAATTTTTTTTCAATTCTAGTTTACATTTAATATTATTTTGTATTAGTTTCAGATGTACAGCATAGTGCTTAGACAGCCATATACTGTACACAGTGTTCTCTCTGGTATCCCCAGTTTCCCTGGCTTAGCTCTCTAAGGGAGCTGAATGCTTTAGGGTGGTGAGTACTGCGGTGTGGTGACATGTGCCACTGGTATATCAGTTAACAACATAGGAAATAATAGGCAGAATAATAGACAGTACTACTTATAAGGAAAACAAACATTGAAGGGGAAAAATTGCCTAGAAGGATATTCTCTCAAAAAGGCATTTGGACTTCTGAAGTCTTTGAATCTTTTGTGGTTGTTCCAAGCTAAGAACATCACACCATATTGTGTTCATCTTCCTGAGCAGTAAGATTTTTGTTAAGCTCTCTAAACTATACCAATGGTAATTCATGGTCCTCAATAGCAAAATCTTTAGTCACACACAGAATTGGTATTTAAAGTAGCTATCTAGTCTATTTTAAAGACTTCCTTCAATACTTTTCTTCCATTGGCATTTTGAATTGGCAGGGTGGGACAGTATGGAATTACTTTGGTGTGACATCTGTATTGCTTGGTTTTAGCCATGGCAGCTGTGTTCTGACTCTTGTTCAAACCCCCAGGGCCATCTCATCTCCAGGAAAATGTGCCAGCTTCTCTCACAACCCAGCACTATTTTAATAAGCCAGATGATACCCTAGTGTTCATCAGTGTTAAAATATCTTCAGAATCCTACTGGGCCTGCCCTTACTCATCCACGACCCCACCCACTTTATGTTCTTTCCTTTGCTCATAGAACACAAATAGTCCTTGTAGTTTGTCTCTAATGGCTATTTTCTCAGGGCAGTTAGTGACAGTGATGGGAAAATGTAGTGGGTCTGGGGAATTACATTTCTACTTTCTTTAGCAAGTAAGTGGCAGGTCCCAGCCATTTGGAACTGGAATTTTTTTCCTGCTTCCAAGTGATTTTGTACCATTTAATAGAAATACTCTGTATATTACATTACTTATGGGAGAGTGAGTTCCAAGAAGATATAAGAAAAGAATGCTTTATGCCAGTACTGCTCCTGAAGGCACCACTCTAGAAACCACTGCTGTGGATATGGTGGTGGTACCCAGTGCATTGCAGCATCTGAGCTCACTTCTAACCAAGGAAGGTGGGCCGGCACTTAGATTTCTGACCAGCAGCTCCTTTTGAAGTGGCTTTGCTTGGTAACAAACTTCCCAGGTATCATAGCATATAAATTGATAGCATATGTCCTTGACTGGTGGTGTCACTCAGTTGGTTTGGCCTCATTCTGCAAAGTGAATGGTTGCTGGTTCAATTCCTGGCCAGGACACATGCTTAGGTTGCAAGTTCGGTCCCCAGCTTGTACAAGAAGCAACCAATTGAGGTTTCTCTTGCATATCAATGTTCTGTCCTCTCTTTCTCCCACCCTTCCCCTCACTCTAAAAATAAACAAATTAAATCTTTTAAAAATTGGTAGCATGTAGGCAGTTTGAGAGAGATATTCTTATTTGATTTAGATTCTTTGTAAATCAAAGTCATTCTCATTGTATAGCCCAAGGAAATCTCTACCGTTCAATCTTGTTTTCCAGAGTTAGTCTTTTCCTATTTTTCTCTGTTGCCTCATAAGAATTCCATGAACAGATTTGAGGAGGACACTGGGTACAGTTTTCCTAATGAGGGTCTATTTATTTCAGCATTCCAAATTCTCGTGGTGCAGTGGGTTAAAATACCTGGAGTTTGGTTTTGGGGGAATGAGAGGTTTTTATTTTCCAAGGTTTCTATGGCAGCTTAACACAACTTAAGTCTACTGGTCTACATGCATTTTCCACTCTGTGGGTTGACCCTTGTCTCTGGGCCCCAGCCTGGGGACTTTTCTCTTAGAAATAGGCCATGCTGCCCTGCTCATTCTTCAGCCCTTAATTTTGCAGCTTATCTTTTTGTCTCTGAAATAAAGGCAACACTAATTTGTTCCTCATCCTCTGGCTTCATACCAGCACTTGGCTCTTTGCCAAGGAGGAAGTGTACATCAGGGGGTACCTGGGTGACCAGGCTTCCCCCAGTTCCCTCAGTCCCAGTCTTCTCTTTTGCTATGTTTTCTTCCTTTCTGTGTTTTTCTAGCATTATCCTTGATTCAGTGATTCAAATTTCACAGTTTCTTTTTATGATTGTCTGATTCTCTGGCATCTTGGATTTCTACCAGGAGAAAGGGCCACTCTAGGTGAGGTAGAATTTTTTCTTCTCTGATTCAGATAGACTATCTTGGCTGAAGCTAAGTATTTCTGGGGGATTTTACCAAAAGCTGTCAGAAATGGCCACATACCAGTATTTTCTTTCCTTTTTTTAATCCTCATCCGAGGACAGGCTATTGATTTTAGAGAGCAAGGTGAAGAAGAGAGCAAGAGAGGGAGAGAAACATTGATATGAGAGAGAAACATTGATTGGTTGCCTGTTGTATGAGCCCTGACTGGGGACTGAATCCACAATCTAGGCATGTGCCCTGACTGGGAATCAAACTTGTGACCCTTCGATCTATGGGACAATGTTCCAACCACCTGAACCATACTGACGAGGGTGCCAGTAATTTTTTTTATTAGTTTTCCTAAGTCTGTAGGAAAGCTGATAAGAAAATGCAGAGTCGTATGGATTGTGTGTGTGTCCCAAAATACAGGAGGGAGTAGTATAGTTAATTGTTTTGTAATGATGTAACATGGATAATGAGCACAACTTCTCAGGCATGAATGGGGTCCATCCGCTCCCATTTCTATATTTTGGTCTACCACTAGCCACATCCTACTTCTAGGGCCATTATATGTGTCAAGGTTTTCTGAGAGCTATGGAGTAAGCACCTTCTAATTTAGGGACATGGATTTTTTTTTTAAATCTTATCAGGTAGATCTCAGAAAGAAAGGCTGTTGATCCAGCCTTGGGAAGCTCAAGAACCAAGGTTGTTTCAGGTTCATGTGAACCAGTAACCCTTCATGGTACCGGCTTAATGGACTCCTTCCAATTATTTTCTGCCCTCATGTTACTTTGCTCAGGATTCAAATTCCTAGGATAGAGGGATTAGGTCATATGCCCATCTTGATAGCTGGGAAGGTAAGATACATGATTGATAGACCCACCAAAATCACACAGAACAGTGAAGGGGAAGTTTCCTTTTGGGTAGGAAAAAGGCAGATGCCCACATTGGCATTCTCCTAAGCTGGTGCCTTGTACTTTACACAGAGCAGTGTTGGTTTTCTCTTGACTTTGACTCTAGCCATGAAGGATACACTCAGTCTGGGAGTATAAGAATAAATCTGGATGGATGAGGGCATTGTCAGTTGGCTTTGGGTGACTGGACTTAAGGACTTTTCTGCTAGGTGTTGGACACTATAAACACGGTTGTCTGACATTAGACTATCTAGAGACTATGACAGACCAAAGCTCTTCTTAGGGGAAGAGTAAAACCATGTTCTTCTTCGTGCTGGCTACCAGATTTGGAAAGGGACTTGCTCCACAGATATGGACTGTGCCTCTGGGAAGGTCTTTCATTTATGTATCCCACAGATAATTTGAGGATCTGCTGTATTTCACATACTCTGCTAGTCATAATAGATACTGAGAAAAAAGACTAAGTTATAGTTCCTGTATTTTGAGGGGCTCACAAGAGACTGTTAAGTACTGAATTATGTCCCTCTAAAATTCATATGTGGAAGACCTAATTTCCAGTACCTTAGAATGTGACTGTATTTGGTGATAGTGTCTTTAAAGAGGTAATTAAGTTAAAAAGAGGTCATTAGGGTGGGTCCTGATCCAATATGGCTGATGTACTTATAATCAGGGGAAATTTGGAGCTGGAGACATGGAAAGAAAAAGCCATGTGAACGTGAAGACAGTCAACTGCAAGCCAAGGAGAGAGGCCTTAGAAGAAAGCAACTCTGGTAACAGCTTGATCTTGAACTTCTAGCCTCCAGAACTATAAGAAAATAAGTTGAAGCTAGGAGTTGTTTTGTTATAGAAGCCCTTGGAAAGTAACAAGGCCAGTAAGCAAACAAAACAAACAAATAAACAAATAAATGGTACAATTTCTTTGACTATGGCAGTAGATCTTGTGCTCCCTAACAATCTGGAGGGAACAGGTTTGGTATCTTAGTGGTCCTTTGGCCTTGGGAAGATGGCAAGAACATACTGATATATTTTCATTCAACAGATGTTTGCGTAATTAGTATATGCTGATCATAGGGTGCTAGTTGTTGGTATAAGAGTCACTGTTTATTGGAGAAACTGCTACATGCCATCACCATACTATATGCTTGGTATATCCATGAATAAGATCCAGTTCTTACCTTCAGGATGTTCATGTCTAGTGGAAAGAGATGGATGTGAAAAGAAATAAAGTCAATGAAGGCTGTTAGGGGTAGTAAAACATACTAGAGGTATAAAAGTGGGAGACATCAAGTCTTCCTCAGAAGTTTCGGGAACATTTCCTGGAAAAGAGATTTGAGATGAATCTTAAAAGAGCAGGGAAGTTTGTCCTAGGGAGAAGGAACCAACTAAGCGAATGTGTAAGGTATGGAGTGATGCTGTATGTCTGGGAATATGATGATGTATGTCAGTGTGATTGGGATACAGGTTATAGGTGGTGGTGTGTGGCAAGAAATGAAGCTCAAGTGTTAATAGAGACCAAATTATCAAGGGCCTTATTATGAAGATAAGGAGTAGGCAATGAAAAACTAATGAAGGGGTTTAGGTAGGGGAGTGACATGGTGAGACTTGATTTTAGAAGGATGTTTTGGAGACTTGTCAGTGGAGGGGTAG